TACTCACGTGCTATGCTTCTGGGAACCAGATCAAGAGTCAGACTAGCAGAGAACTTAGCTAGTGGCACTGCACCTGCCTCAAAAGTGCAAGGTCCTGAGTTCGATCCCCAGTACCAAAAAAAACAGTCAAACTGGATTCCTGAGATGTAAGAAATGAATACCAGGGAGTCTTTCCCTGCCCTCAAGGGTGGATTAGACTGGGCTGGGGCCAACCCTCTCCCTGGAAGTCAGGCCATCTTAGTTTCCCTCTAGGAAGGTAGCTTCCTGTGGGCTAAAACCAGAGTAGCCAGAATTCTGGCTTCTGGCCACAGAAAACCCAGATGTGAATCTGATCCAGCTGTGGCTGCTATTAAGCAGGACCAGAGTGGGACTCAGGAGGCCCCTCTTTGGCTTCTCCCAGCAGGTGCTCCTCCCTAAAGCTTCCGTGGGGTTTTTCAAGGCTACCTAGGGGGTCTGCAATCCCTAAAGGCAGAATGGGAGATGGTAGAGGTGGCCTTGCAGGACCAGCTCAGGGCTGGTAGAAACCATCAGAGAGGCGAAGGGGATACAAGTGAGTTCCAGGCCTGACAGTGTGTGGTGCCACACATGCAGTACAGGCCTTTTCAAGTGCCACCACTCCAGGAAGTGTGGACCCTTGAGTCCTCTCCCTGGCCAGGGAGTGGGCAGGGACTGAACCCCCCAATGTCCTGTCTAGCATGTGGACTGCAGGCCACTCAAGTCTCACCAGTGGTATGGACACACACTGCCCTGCGGTGAGACTTTCACCCTAATCTGCACCATGGTCGTCACCCAACCTCCCTAGTGCTCTCCTGGACTCGGAAGGGGGTGCACAGAGCCTTTCCCTCGGAACCCAATCATCAAGAGGCCTCCCATTCTAAGACGTGACTCTGCCAGCGACCCAGCAGGTCCCCTGCCCCTCCAGCTCAAATTCCAGGTGGGCCACATCTCGGACTGGTCCTTGCCACATCCACGACCATGACTGGCTCAGGACACACACACACACCAAAGCCTGGCAAGAGCCTCAACAGCCCTGGAGTACAAATCTCTCACCAGGCCTCATCCTCTTTTCTCTGTCCCCAACCACAGGGTAATGAGATGTCACCAGGTATCAGCAAATCAAAGGCCAAGACAGAGATGAGGACAGAGAGCCAGAGGAGATAGCAGAGTGTCTGAGATGGGCTTGCTTCGGTGCAGAGAGAACGGGCACGACACAGATCTCTGACTCACCCTTACCACCTCTGCCCACCTCCCGACCCGTCAGTTCTGCCTTTACAAGAAGAGCTAGGCCGCACACAGATGGCACCCAGGACCTCAGGTGTCCCTGCACAAAGTTTTCTCTGACTTTCTTTCCTTTCCTTGTCACTGTCGTTATTTGGTGCCCAGGTTTTAACACAGGGTCCTTGCACTGAGCTATCTCTTCAGCAGTTTATTTCTTATTTTGAGACAGGGTTGTGCAGACTAGACTCAAACTGTCTTCTTGACGTAGTTTCCCAGAGAGCTGGGATTACAGATTCGCACCACCGATCGATGGTCAGGCTTCCTTTTAAGGTTGTAGACAGCAGTGTAGGCGGAAGCCCTAGAGCTGGAAGAGGAGGAGAGTAGGGCTGGGAGGGTGGTGGGCTCAGGCGACCACAGCTTCACTTCCTGCATTTTCATCATCCAGCTCAGGAAAGAGGGCAGAAAATGGAGGGCTGTCTGGGGTGAGGGGCTGAGGCATCACCCTACCCACCAGGTCAGGACTCCTCTAAAGCTGCTCTTAGAACCCGCCAGCCCAGAGCCCAGGCTGGGGCACGAGCAGCAGATGTGCACAGACCGTGAGGTCCCTTTTAGTCCCATATGGAGCCTGCAAAGCCCCGTCCAGGTTCAGGTCAGGAACAGGACAGGGGCTGCCCTCATGAGTGACCCATCTCAAGGGGACACTGTATAGGGCCTGGGGTCTGTTGCTGCCTCCCCAGGATGCTGGCCAGTCCCCCACTGAGGAAACAGCCTTCCCCTGGAACAAGCCTTGACTCAACCACCGCAGGGACAGTCCTGAAACCCAGGCTTGAGCCACTGGGCTCCATGGCCCAAGGATGTGGCCGGAGACAGCGAGTCTGAATGATCTCTCGAGCCCAGAGCACCTGGTATACACAGCAGCACAGTGCAGCCCACACTACCCCAGGAGGTGCCCATCCCACGTGGTCCGTGGCCAGGGCTCCACAGTGATGCACCCGCAACCTCAGCACTCAGGCTTGCCAAGCGACCTCATCTACAGCCCCTGTCCTGTGTCTGCCTGCTGTTCGCAAAGGAAAGGCCAGTTCCCTAGAATCATCTGCTTTTTGTCTGCTCCTGTGGATGAGGAGGGGACATGAGGGAAGAGAAAAACTCGGGTTATCTCACCCTGCGCTGGGGCCTCCTTTGGGCTCCTCCGAGGTTCAGGATACGGCCTAAGCAGTCTCAGAGCAGATGCCCTGTCCTCTGTCCAGGAGGTCCACATCAGCTACCCCAGCTGTCTCAGTTACTTTTCCCCATCACTGAGACGAAATACCCGGCACCCAAAGTTAAAGGAGGAGAGGTTTTATTTAGCCCGCAGTCTGTACAGGTTTCAGTCTCCAGGGGGCTGGCTCCGAGGCTGGATGGCGCAGCAGATGGGCATCGCAGAGGAGAAACAGTTCGTGGCAGGCAGAAGGTAGCTGAGCAACAAGGGGAGTTTTCCCACCCTTCATTTTTCCAGGCTACTTAGGGAGGCTACACTCACACTTTAATCCCACTGCCCTTGAGCCCAGCATTGCACCATGAATCAGTTCCAGCATCACACACTCTAGACCCAGACACCTTTAAAAAGCCCCACCTAGTGTCAGGGATTTAGCTCACTGGTGCCACCGCCTGCCTTGCAAATGCAAGGACCTGAGTTCGATCCCTGGTGCTGGGGAAAAAAAAAAAAGCCCCACCTAAGACCGCATGAGGCTTTGAGGGGACAGCTAGACCCAAGCCATAACACCAACATTTCTCTTTTTTTCTTATTTTTACAAAATAACTTATTTCATATACAATCCCTAAATCCTTAAGAGTTAAATTTCTGGGCCGGGGATTTAGCTCAGTGGTTCTACTGCCTGCCTCACAAGTACAAGGACCTGGCTTCAATCCCCAGTACCAAAAAAAAAAAAAAAAGAGAGAGAGAGAGAGTTAAATTTCTTGTATTCTCTTTTCTTTTCTTTTCTCCCCCCTTCCCACCTCATTCTGGCGCTAGGGATCAAATCCAGGTCATCATGCACTGCAGTAAGGGTTGGGAAAGGAAAGAAGGGAAAAGAAAAAATATGAGGAAAGAAAAACATGGAAACAAAGTCTTTGTACATAAGGGAGGGTGGGAGGATGAAGGGAGGGCAGGGGTATGGGAAAAAAACAAGAACCAAGACCTGTCCTGTAAAAGTACAAGATCCCAATGATGAATGTAACTGTACTGCATGCCTAAAAAGCACCAATAAACTCAGTGAGAAAGAAAAAAAAAAGAGATAGCTCATGACCTATTCTGGGGCAGAGGCTAGAAGTCTTCTGCAATTTGATGACGGTCAAGTTTAGGTTTGTTAGGGTCATTTTTCAGTGGCCAATATCTTTCCCTCAGTAGCCAAATAAAAGGATCTGTCCGGTTTTGCTTACAAAGCCTGTGCGTCCCTCAAGCAGCGCGGGTGTTATGTATAAATTTAAATACTCTTTGGCAGCTTGTCCAGTTGGAGAGGGCTCAACAATCACTTTAGGAAACACGAAGCGAGCTTCTCTTTCTGCTGCAGCCAAGTCCTTCCTCCCGTGCAGTGAGGTCCTTAAATCTTCTGTGCCCTGCACTGCCTTAGACTGCTTGGGTGTGTCTCCTGTGCTAGCAAACTTACTTGGTCCCAAAAGTTCTTTCCGGTAAGAGATGGCATTGTGTCTAGTTAATATCATGGCAACCAGTGGCCCAGAACTCACGGAAGCTTAAATTTGGGAAAAATAGGGGCCGGGGATTTAGCTCAGTGGCGCCACCACCTGCCTCACAAGCACAAGGTCCTAATTCGATCCCCAGCACCAAAAAAAAAAATTGGGAAAAATTTTTTCCTATACTGTTCCACATAAAAGTTACAACAGTGCTCAGGAATGAGACGTAGTTTCCTTCTCTGAACAATGGTGAATCCAGACCTGAGAATAATATCTTGTATCTCCTCATCTTTGTCAACAATATTGAGTTTGACAGTTGCCAGAGTTTTTCTACATAGATGTGAGGCAGGGCACTGATACCTCCATTTCAGCCTTTCCAGGTACAATCTAAGTTTCGTGACGGATATCAGTTTGGTGCCTGCCCTTCCAGCTCCAACACCAACACTTTCTCGCCATTTACAAGAAGCAGGAAACAGCACAGGGCTTATGCAAGCAAAGAATTCTTTTCAGTGTTCTTTTTTTTTTTTTTTTTTTTTTTTTTTTGTTTTTTTTTTTTTTTTTTTTTTTCTTGTTTTTTGAGACAGCATCCTGCTGTGTAGTTTGAGCTGGCCTGGAATTGACTTATATTCTGGGCTGGTACATGTCAAGCTCCTCCTGCCTCAGCCTCCTGAGGGCTGGAATTACAGGCACATGCCACCATGTCCATTACAATTTTTGCTCTCCTCAAGTACGGGGAGGGGTCCTTGACACACATCCCCACTCTGCTTGCACAGAGTCAAAGATGACAGTTTTTCAGGACCTCAGCTGCTGACCCACGGATGAAGAAAATCAGATGAAGGAAAGACACAGTGAGCAAACACAGGGGGCCCCTCCCTGGCCTGCCGACTGTGGAGCTCTAGGAATGTCCCTCCAGTCCACGCAGCCTTCTCCTCTCTCTATCTTGCATAATCCTGACCAAAGGAAAGGGAAAGATATTCTCCTCATACTTCCAAACGAGTTTCTGGCACTTGGCTCCCTCTTCCTAGACAAGGATGAGCGCTCCCACCCTAGGGAGGCAGCCCGGTACACTATAAATAGTTCCTCCAGGTTGGTCTCCTCAGCCCCCTTCCTCCTCCAACACCTGCCAGCCCAGCAGCTGTCCTGAAGCCATGGCCCTGGGTCTGCTGTGTCTGGGCCTCTCCCTGCTGCGGACCCTGCAGTCCCAGGCCCAGGACACCACTCCAACCCTGATCCCGAGCCCACCTCTGAGCAAAGTCCCCCTGCAGCCAGACTTCCAGGATGACCAGGTAAGGGCTCTGGAGGGGCAGGTGCAGGCGGGGCCCAGGGGAAGAAACAATGGGAACGGAGGAGAGGAGAGGTAAAGGGACCCAGGGGCAGTGTTGGGTGGGAGGAACAGGACTCAGGTAGGCCAGGCCCGGTGCATCCCAGGAAGGGACGTGTTCGGTCCCTCTGAACAAACTGAGGCTCTAGAAGACCAAATGATCACTTCCCCTTGGCCACCCCATGCCTGACAAAACAGGGTGAACTTTCCCAAAGTCCTTCTTGGCCCTGTAGGGATCTGCTCTTGCCGGCCTCTCGGGGCAGCCTGATCCCAAACACTGCTGCTCTGGGGGTCCCCAGGGGTAGCAGCAGGGACAGCATGAGAGGGGTGGCTCTGGAGCCAGCCCTGGGCCCTGCCTGTCATCAGCCCCTTTCAGTTCCAGGGCAAGTGGTACCTCATAGGCCTGGCAGGGAACGCATTTCGGAAAGGAGGACAAAGCCAGTATAATATGCACAGAACCATCTACAAGTTGAACGACGACCACAGCTACAACGTCACCTCTGCCCTACTCAGGTGAAGCCACCACGTCCCGGGTGTCTGAGAGGCAGAACGATGTCAGCTGAGGAGTGACCGAAGCTGAGGGATGCTGTCAGTCATCTCACCGCCCTGCACAAAATCAGTCTTCCTCTCCCCTTCTCTTTGTCCTTTTTATCCTAGCTCCCACCTTCCCTCTCTCCATTAACATTCATGGGTAGCTCCAGAACAAACACACGCAAAAAGCAGAAAAAATAAAGAAAGTAGGGTGATCCAGAGGGGAAGAGGGACACTGAACCCAGCCTGGGACCCAACCCAAGGCTCAGTGGTTTTGCTGCCTGCCTCGCAAGTGCAAGGACCTGAGTTCGATCTCTGGTACCTGACAGCAGGCCTGTCATCCCAGCACTCAGGAGGCTGAGGCAGGAGTGTCGCTGTGAGTTCGAGACCAGCCTGGGCTACATAGTGAGTTCCAGGTCAGTCTCAACCACATAGTGAGACCCTGTTGCAAAAAAAAAAAAAAGAAAGAAAGAAAGAAAAAAAGCCTCACCTTAGGGGTCAGCAAAGCAGCCAGGCATCAGCGTGGCCACCTGAGCAGGGGCTGATGAGCAGCTGGGAGGGGAGCAGCCCAGGCCAGTCTCTGGAGAGTCTCACCTTGATCCAGGGCCCGGCTCCAGCAAGAGCCAGGATCTGGGTGCAGCTACAGGAGGAGAGGTGGGGAGGACCAGGAAGGTAAGGCCTCCAGTCCCAAGTGGGAGATGACAGAGGGGGCGCTCAGAGTGGGGAGCTGGGGCCCATCTACCTGAAGGTCTGCCCGCTCTGACCACTGGGTAGATTACAGTTGAAGCTCTTGAAAATCCAGGGTCAGGAGGAAGGCAGGTTTCTGAGGTTTTGTTTTAGGGTGCAGGAGAGTGACTCCATGTTCTAGGGTGGAGTCAGGGAAGAAGTCAGGTGTGGCCCAAGGGCTAAGGCGGCGCTTGGCATGGAGCAGACTGGAAGCTCAGCCAGGGGAGACGGGAAAGGGGCGCATTGCGATAAGAGTGGGGCACAGGGCCTGGGGTCTGGCGTGAGGCAGCCCGCCCCGGGGAGGCAGCGGAGGAGCCGGTGAGTGCTGGAGGGAGGGTCGAGTGGCCCCCACAGCAGAGCAGGCAGAGGCTCAGAGGAGAAGGCCCAGGGCCATGGAGCAGGCCGGGCAGGATGCCTGTCGTGGTAGGGAACAGCCTGTCACAGGCTGGGCTGAACTGGGGCCTCAGAAGCCAGCTGTCTCCCTGGCCCCTCTTTGTCCAGGCAGAGGGGACCAGGGCGGTGTCATGTCCCTGCTCAGCTCCGAACATCTCTCTCACCCGCAGGGGCCAGAACTGTGACGTCCAGATCCGAATCTTTGTCCCCAGTGTGCAGCCCGGCCAGTTCACCCTGGGCTATATGCCACGTGAGTCCCGAGTGAGCGGGGCCCTGGGGGGTGGATTCAGGGAGCAAAGTCCACTTGGAAGGGGGTAGGCCTGCCTGCTCTTCTGTACAGATGCCGTCCTGCGGGGAGAAGTCCCTGCTGGCTGATGGAGGGGCACGGGGACAGCGCCTTCTTCGCAACCAGGGCAGGTATGACCCTCACTGTGCACGCTGCAGAGTACCTTCCAGCACAGAGCTACACCGTGAGAGTGGTAGCCACCAACTACACTCAGTTCGCCATGGTGTTCTTTGAGAGGAAGTACGGGAACAGAGTGAACTTCAGGACCACTCTCTACGGTGGGTCCTCGCTCCATCCCATGGGGGACCAGGTGCACGGTCGCTCTTGGGGGAAGGGGTCCCCTATCCCCAAATACCCACAAAGTCTTCTGCAAGTCTCCCTCAGGGAGGCAGCCTTTCCACAGACCCTTCATGGGAGAGGGCTCTGAGGCCTCCTTTGACAGTAGTTACAGACCGAACCGGGCACGGTGGACACAACTGTCACCTGAGCCCTGGGGGGCTGAGCCAGAGGATTAGGAGTTCAAGACCAGGTCTCCAAAAAATCTTAAAAACATAACCGCAGAGTGTCTTTCTGTTGCCCACTCACTGCCATGTTGGCCACAGGGAGAACCAAGGAGCTGAGCCCTGCAGTGAGGCGGAGTTTCGTCAACTTTGCCGAGTCTCTGGGCCTCACTGGTGACAACATCATTTTTCCTGTGCCCACGGGTAATGGCCAGCTGGGGAGGGGGAAGGGGACGTGCAGCTCCCCAGGCTGATGCTTCCCCAGCAGGGAAAAGCAACAGGAGAGACTCGGTCCCTTGATCCAGTGGAGGGGTAGGGGCTCCCACCCTGGGGTTTGTGGCCCTCCAGGGGCCCTGACCCTAAGTGGTCCCCTCATAGTTCAGCCAAGGCCTGCCCAGAAGACAGCTTCAAGCCGAGCTCCGAGTTTCCTCAGTCACACTTCCTTGGGCCACCTCCTCTCCATGCCCTGAGACTTCTTGTCCTGGGCCACTTCCCCACACTGCGGGTCTTGCTGTCCTGGGCCGCCTCCTCTGTACCTTGGGTCATGTTGTCCTGGGCCAGCTCCTCTTCCCTGGGCCTGCTGATTCCTGGCATGACAGGTGTCCCTACTTTCATATAGCCTGGCCTCTATTCAGGGAGCCCCTATGTCCTCTGCGCTGGGCGAGGCTGGGTTGGAGGTAGCCAGGGACAGCACAGCTGCTGGCAGCCAGAGAGCACACACACGCACACACACACACACACACACACACACACACACACACAGCCACCTGCTCTGATGTTCCTTCTCCCCACAGAGAGGTGCATCGATGACTGAGTGTGCAGTGAGTATGGGGGGCAAGGGGCCGACAGGGTAGGCTGGGCTGGGGGTCTCGGGGCTGCCCTTGTTCCTCCCCACTCCCCACACTTGAACCCCATCCGTCTTTACTCTGCTGACCCCTCCCAGGTCCCTCCGTTCTCCCTTTTTCTAGTTCCTTCACCCGCCACGGTGACACTGAGAGAGCTGGAAGACCCTTCTTACAGGACAGGGCTGCGCACCCGTCACCCCAAAATCCACCCTGCTGATGGAGACCCCTTGTGCTGATTAAACACATGCACCCTGTCTCCAAGTCTGTGCTCCTTGTCCCCTGGGTCATGAGGAGGGGGAAGGGCAAAGGGAGGGCTCACACCAGCATCCCAGGGCCTGCATCTCCAGAACGCAGCCTGACTTTTGGGTGCAGAGAGAAAGCCAAAGCGGAGGTCTCCAGGTTCCCTTCCATCTGTTGCCACTGGCTGTCCTGAGTCTGTCTTGGACCAAATATGGCATTCACTCCCACCGTGACTGGACTCCTAGCCCCAGCCACAGGCCCACCTGCAGGGCAGTCTTCACACCCCCACAGGGGCTGATTTGCCTACCTTGTAGAATCCCTAGCTGCTGATACCGTCCCCTTGGGTCTTAGGTCCAGTTAACGGGCTTGGTGGGGACACACACATCCAAGCCACAGCAGCTCCATACCTGATGGGGCTTTCTGCCCCCTCACCTGGTCCTAGGGGAAGGAGGCTGTGCCCACTTGTTTGTCCCTTAAAGGACAGCTGGACTAGGATCAGGGCAAGGTCAAGAGGAGTCTGAGAGGGGGCAGAGAAAATGGATGGGGTCGTGGCTGGTGGAGAGGGTGGGGTTGATATGGGGCTGAGAGCTGCGCAGGAATAACAGCCCAGGCTGAGCCGTACCGTGGTCTCACATTCGCTCAGACTTGGCCCTAGGACTCCGGCCACGGCTGATGTGTACTTAGCCCTATGGTTCCCTGCACCCTTGGTCACTGAGCAGCACTGAGCCCAGTGCTGGACACAGCTTGAAGGTCTCTTGAAGGGATCAAGGGCATCAAGACAGAATGAGCACTGGACAGCAAGGCGAGAGTCATCTCGACTAGGACAGAAGGAGAAATTTGCCAAGCGTTTGGGCAGAGGAGCTGGTCATGGGGTTTCCACCCTAGATTTAACACAGGATGAGTCAGGCTAGGATCCAGTAGTTGCTAGGTGAGTAAAAAAATAGGACCTGCCAGGTATCAACCCCACTGGTTTCCTGGCCTCTCCCCATTGATTTTCTCATTTAATTCTAACACGTTTCTATGTCGGGGACACCAGTCTTTATTCCGATATTACAGGTGGAAAATTAAGTTAGGAGAAAGTAAAAAGAGAGTGTATGATTGGTGGTTCCCACCTCATTGCTGCTACACGGCAACGGGCTGCTTTGGAAAAGGTTACAGCAGTAATGCCAGGTGGCAGGGAGTGAGGTCTTCCTCAAAAGGGAGGAGGGGCCGGGTACCAGGCCAGTCAGTCCCTCCTGCACAGCCACACTGGCCAAGCTCTGCTTGGTCCCTTTCAGGTACCTGTGTCTCCTTAGAAGGTGAAGGAAGTGGCTGAAACAAATCCCAAATAGGCATGCATCTCTGAAGCTGCCTCAGTTTCCCCATCTGTAATCAGGGCAGGTTCCTTGCTATTCTACAATGCTGTGACTTCCAGGTACTTATTCCCTCGTGTTCACCCTGAATCTCTGAGAGTGTGAAAATGATCCCACTTGTCCCGAGCAAAAGCAAAAGAAAGTAGACTCTAGAAGCGGCAAAAGTGAGGTTTTAAATCCAAACTCTCACGAGAGTGCTGCCCATCCAGAGATAGGCACGCTCCAGCTGAGATGCTGTGTGTTTCTATTCCTAGCTCACAGGGGTCTCTCCCCATCTCCCACACCTTGGATCTGGGGTTCACAGTCTATCGCAAGCAATTGATTTCATCCCACACCTGTTGTCCCCTCCCCCTTCTTTCTTTACCACCCTTCCCTCTGTATCTCTCTCTACTGATTTTTTAGCCAGAATTCAAAAAGATTCTTAGCTCTAGAGTGAGTCCTGGTACAGCCTGCGTTTTCTTGTCCACTAGTTGACCAAACTAAGTCTAAGAATAAGGACTTATTCAGGGGAATGGGGAAAAAATAAGAACCAAGATACATCACGTAAAGGTACAAGATCCCAATTATCTAGAACTCAGTTAAACTCTTGAACAAAGGAATTTAAGAGATATTTACAGAGTGTTCCACCACACAAAATCAGAATACACATTCTTTTTGGCTGCACATGGATAGTTCTCCAAAATAGACCACACACTCATTCGTAGAACATGTTTAAGTAAGTGCAAAGGAACTGAAGTATATTATCAGACCACAGTGCAATAAAATTGGAGATCAATAGCAAAAGAAACTGCAAGAATTTCATAAACACATACAGACTGAACAACACACTTCCAAATAACCAGTGATTCACAGAGGAAATTAAGAAATCAGACAGTTCCTACAATTAAATGACAATGAAAATACAACGTGTCAGAACCTATGGGACACAATGAAAGCAGTCTTATGAGGGAAATTAATAGCAGTGAATACTCATATTAGGAAAACAGAGTGAGCTCAATTACACAACCTGATGCTGAACCTCAAGATTCTAGAAAAAGAAGAGAAAGACAAACCCAAAGCTAATACAAAGAAGGAAATTATAAATATCAGAGCAGAAATCACTACAAGGGAGAATAAGAGAACAATACAAAACAATCAGTGAAACCAAGAGTTGGTTCTTTGAAAGGATAAATAGAATCAACAAACCCTTAGCCAAACTTATTTAAAAAGGAAAGAAAAGGCCCAAATCCATGCAATTAGGAATAAAAAGGGTAACATTACAGCGGACCCAGCAGAAATCCACAGGTTCATTAATACCTACTTCAAGAACCTATATGCCAATAAGATGGAAAATACAGAAGTGAACAGATTCCTAGATACATATGAACTACCAAAGTTGAACGAATATAACCTAAAAATTCTAAATGACCCAATATCAGTCAATGAAAATGAAAATGTAATTAAAAGCTTACTAAGAAAAGTCCAGGTCCTGATGGCTTCATTGCTGAATTCTACAAGACATTTAGAGAGGAACTACTGCCACTATTGTTTAAACTCTTCAATGAAATTGAAAGGGAAGCAATACTCCCAAATTCATTCCTAGAAGCAAGCATCACTTGATCCAAAAAGCAGAGAAAGACAACAAAGAAAGAGAACTATAGGCCAATCTCACTAATGAACATAGATTTTTAAAAATCCTTAATAAGATACTGGCAAAAAGAATACAGATGATCATCAAGAAGATCATACATCCTAAGTGGGATTCATCCCCAGGAAGCAGGGATGGTTCAACGTATGCAAATCAATAAATGTAATACATTACATTAATAGAGCCAAGGACAAAACCATATGATCATCTCAATAGATGCAGAAAAAGCATTTGACAAGATCCAACACACATTTATGAGTAAAAAAAAAAAAACCCTTCAAAAATTGGAATAGATGGTCTCTACCTCAATCTTATGAAAAGCCATCTATGAAAAACCAACAGCCAATATTGTACTAAATTGTCAAAAACTGAAATTCTTCACACTAAAATCAGGAATTAAGACAAAGATGTCCACTATCACCAAGCCAACAACCAATATCATACTTAATGGTCAAAAATTGAAATCCTTCACTCTAAAATCAGGAACAAGACAAGGATGTTCACTACCATCTTGTACAATATAGTTTTGGAAACCTTAGCCACAGAAATTAGGCAAGAGAAAGAAATAAAGACAGGAAATGAAGAGGTCAAGTTGTCATTATTTGGAGATGACATGATACTCTATTTAGAAGACCCCAAGAACTCCACCAAAAGTCTTCTAGACTTCATAACCAAATTCAGCAAAGTAGCTGGATACAAAGTCAACACACAAAAAGCAATAGCCTTACTGGACAAGAAAAACAGACTCACTGAGAGAGGGAATGGAGAAACAATTCCTTTCATAATAGCATCCAAAAAATTGAAATACCTAGGAATCCACCTAACAAAAACAATCAAAGACATATATTCTGAAAACTACAGTACTCCGAAAAAAGAGATTGAAGAAGATATCAGAAAATGGAAAGGCATCCCATCCCTTGTTCCTGGGTAGGAAGAACCAATATAGAGAAAATGGCCACACTTCAAAAACTGCTATGTACTTCAATGTAATCCCAATTGAAATCCCAGCAGCATACTTCACAGACCTTGAGAAAACAATCCAAAAATTCATTTGTAACAAGAAGAGACCTAGAATAGCAAAAGCAATAAAGACAAGGTAGGGGGTATCACAATCCCCAACTTGAAACTATATTACAAAGCTACTGTGATGAAAATAGTATGGTACTGGCAAACAGACCTGAGGACCAGTGAAACAGATTAGAAGATGAAGAAACAACTCCAGACACACTCAGGCACCTCATCTTTGACAAAGGAGCCAAACACCCTCACTGAAGAAAAGATAGCCTCTTTAATAAATGGTGCTGGAAAAACTGTGTTTCAACTTGCCAAAGATTAAAACTAGACCTATATTTCTCACCATGCACTAAACTAAAATCAAAATGGATTAAAGATCTAAGTACTAAAATAGAAATACTAAACTAGCTAGAAGAAGTTAGGTAGAACTCTTGAAGACATTGGTGTAGGAAAAGATTTTATGAACAAAATCTCAGTTGCCTGTGAACTAGCACAAACAACAAGTGGGATGTCTTCTCATTAAAAAGTTTCTGGAGGCTGGGAATTTAGCTCAGTTGTTCTGCCACCTGCCTTGCAAGCACAAGGTCACGAGTTCGATCCCCAGTACAAAAAAAAAAAAAAAAAAAAAAAAAAAAAAGCTTCTGCACAGCATGAGAAATGACGAGTAGTATGAAGAGACAACCCATATTGTGGGAAAAACTTTTCACTAGCTCTTCCTCAGACAAAGGTCTACTATGTAGAATATATAAAGAACTTTTAAAAATCAGACCATCAATCCCTGGTACCAAAAAAAATCAGACCTCCTAAATTTAAAGACCCAACCCAAAAACTGGTATCTCCAAACTGATTCTCACAGTGGTTACACCAGTCTACACTCCCACCAGCAGTGAAGTAGGGTTCCTGTTTTCCCACAGCCCCACCAGCATTTGTTATTGGTTGATTTCATGATAGCAGCCATTCTTTCTGGGGTGAGGTGGAATCTCAGTGTTGTTTTCATCTTCATCTCTTGAATGACCAGTGATGTGGAACATTTTTTCATATGATTATTTAGTATTTCTACTTCTTTGTCTGAGAAATGTCTGTTCATTTGAGATGCCCATTTCTGAATTGGGTCTTTATGTTTGGGGGAGTCTGGTTTTTTTGAGTTCTTCATATGTTCTAGATAGCAGACCTTTGTCAGGAGAATAGCTGTTAAAAACTTTTTCCCACATTTTGGGTTGTCTCTTAGCTCTGCTTGTGATTTCTCTGGCAGTCCGGAAGCCTTTTAAAAAGATGAGATCCCAGTTGTTGATTCTTTGTGCTAGTTCCTGTGCTACTGAGGACTTGTTCACAGAGTCTTTTCCAATGCTGATATCTTCAAGAGTTCTACCTAACTTATCTTCCAGCAAGTTTAGTGTTTCTGTTTTAATATTTAGATCTTTAATCCACTTGGATTTTAGTTTAGTACATGGTGAAGGATACAGGTCTAGTTTTAATCTTTGACAAGTTGAAATGCAGTTTTTCCTACATCATTTATTAAAGAGTCTATCCTTTCTCTAGTGAGGGTGTTTAGCTCCCTTGTCAACGATGAGGTAGCTGAGTATGTCAGGAGTTGTTTCTGCATCTTCTAATCTGTTCCACTGACCCTCAGATCTGTTTCTTTGCCAGTACCATGCTGTTTTTATCACAGTGGCTTTGTAGTATAGTTTCATGTTGGGAATTGTGATACCCCCTGCCATGTCTCTGTTGCCTATAACTTCTTTTGCTATTCTAGGGCTCTTCTGATTTGAAAAGAATTGTTGGATTATTTTCTGTAGTTCTATGAAATACACTGTTGGGATTTCAGTAGGGATTGCATTGAATCTTTATGGCAGTTTTGGAAGTATGGCCATTTTCACTATATTGGTTCTTCCTGCCCAGGAACAAAGAATGTCTTTCCATTTTCTGATATCCTCTTCAATTTCTTTTTTCAGAGTGCTACAGTTTTCAGTGTAGAGGTCTTTTGTCTCCTTTGTTAGACTGATTCCTAGATATTTCATTTTTTGGATGCTATTGTGAAAGGGATTGTTTCCTTAATTTCACTGTCAGTGAGACTGTTATTAGTGTACAAAAAGGCTATACTAATATTTGAGTATTTACCTTGTATCCAGCTACTCTACTGAATCAGTCAAACAAAGAACTCTGTCAAAAGACTTCTAGACTTGATTGGGAAATTTTTATTTTAACTCACAGTTTGTAGAGGTTTCAGTCCTTACTCTGCTGGGTCCAAGGCAGGGCAGCATGGCAGAGGGGAATCACAGAGGAGAAGCTGTCCATGGGAAGGCAGGCAGAGACATCAAGCGTTGAGCCTTCCTTTCCCTTTTACCCATTCAGGCTTCAAACCTATTAGATGGTGCCACCCCCAGCCAGGGCGGGGCTTCCCATGATCCACACCCAGGATTATGCTAAACCTGCCAGTGGACTAATCCAGTTATCACCCTTAATCCTACGATCTCACACCCATGATCCAGCCACTTCCCAAAAACCCCACCTACGAGCACAGGAGGCCTTAGGGAGACATCTAGATGTAAACCATAACACTATCCCATGTACTGGTGAAGAATGGGGGGAAACACCACGTCTCCTCACCAGTGAGCTTCACTCCTGGATGACACCTGGAGGTGTGATCCCACCGAGGGGCTCCGTTGTGAGTCAGGCTCGTGACCCAGGGGACAGTGGCTCACTTCCTGGGACTCCTGTAGCTGTAGCGACCAGGGGGGCCCATGGCTGCAGCAGTGACCTGAGGTCCCTTTGGATGCTGAGAGGATAGGGCCATCCTCAGACGGGAGCCAGCCCTGGCCTATGTGCCAGGTGGTGACAGGAAGGTGGGGGTGAAATGGAGCTTGCCTTTGAGAAGCCCCGCCTTCTTCTCCCTGACCCAGACGGAGCAGCAGTGGGGACCACTGAATTAGTGCCCAAAGAAATTCAGAGAAAGATCCCTCATTTAGGTCAGCTGACGACCGCTGCCTGAAAGTGAGGACCCGGGAGGAACAGAGATTTGTTTATGCTACACTGCACCTTTGAAGAAAAGGGAAGAGATTTCAAGCCGAGGAACGCAGAGAAGGCAGCTCCAGAAGCTGGAAAAGCCTGGGAAGGGGATTCTTACCTAGTGACCCACAAGTAACGCAGCCCTGGGAACACTGGTCTCAGCCCAGTGAGTCTGATTTAAACTTTGTCCCCAAGAACAGAAGAAAATACATGTGTGCTATTTTCAGCTGGTTGTTAGGGTTAAGAATAGTGTTGGGGCTGGAGTCAGGGTTAGGGTGAGGGTTAGGTCCCAGCCTTGGGGCGTTTCTGTCTGGGAACCCTTACCAATTGCCAAGGGCAGGAATGGGATACCTCCTGGTAAGTGCTCCTGTTGCTCAGGTCACTCCTCTTGGGGAACTCTGGAGCTAGCCCAGGTATTTTAACATGAGTACCCAGTCAGATCGGAAGTGAGTACAGCAATATTCCCCCCAGGCAGGACCCATGGCAGCCATGGCGATGATGGTTGTGGAGGATCCTGGGGTCTTCTTTGCCCTGTGCCTTCTGTCTGCACAGTAACCAGCTGGGCTCTGGGGGCCGCCGAACCTGTGAACTATGTCGGTGGGAAGCCCCTTTTTGACCTCCCCTTCCTTCATGGCCCAGCAGACAAGGAGCACAGTCTCAGAAACCTGGCCACTGTGTTCCATTAGCAGGCAAACAGGGCTGCAAAATCAGGCAGATTTTGGCAAGATGGTGCATAGCACTGTGCTGAATGAAGGGTCCTCTTGTTCCGTCACTGACATTGTCCCCCTGGGGCACCCGGATGGCACCTCGGGCAGAAGTGAAAGGAAGAACAGGGGTTAGGGTTAGTTCAGTCTCCTGATAGGGACTCACACGGGACGCTACAGTGAGCTCCAGGCCTTCAGCCTTTGACTGGATCCTGCAGCTCTCCAGTCTGCAGATGACCCCTCTGAACTCTTTCTCACCTGGCTCTGTGGGCAGCCATTGTAAGTCTGCCTTGTAAACCCTTATATATTTATATACCTTACATTAAGTCTGTTTCCCTAGTGAGCACTGACTCATACACCCAGCAACTCCTGGATCTTAGCCTAAGATGACTCAGCCTTCACTAAATCTAGAATCCATGAGCAGTGCCCCCTGCCCAAGTACTTGGCAAAGTTCCCCTCTTGTCCTGGCCAAGATGCCTCTCGCCTTGCTGTCCAGTGCTCATTCTGCCTCACCGCCCTTGAGCCCTGCAGAGATCTTCAAGCTGTGGCCAGCACTGGGCACATCCGTGCTTGATGACCAGTTAGGTGTGCAGGAGATGACAGGGCCGAGGCATCAGCTGTGTCTGGAGTCCTAGGCCCCATTCTGAGCAAACGTGCGGCCCAGTATGGTAGAGGCGTCCTCACCTGTTCCTGCCCATCTCTCGGCCCCAGTCTCTGACGGTATCACCCCCACCCTCTCCACCAGCCCTGTTGCAATTCCATCCTTTGACTCTGCTGTTTCCCAGGCTCCTCCCTGGCCCAAGTCCGGCCGTCCTTTAAGGGCCAAGCAAGCGGGCCAGGTGACGGGCAGAGAGCTCCATCGGGTATGGCGCTGCTGTGGTTCGGATGTGTGTGTCCCTGTCAAATCATCGCCTGGAACCTAGGACCCCAGGTGAGTATCAAGAGGTGGGGCTTTTAGGAGGAAGTTGAATCAGCCCTTGTGAGTGGCAGGAAGGACCAGGGCTGGACTAGGAGTCCCCAGTCGAGGCAGGAGTTCGACACCGTTCAACCCAGGACCGATTCAGGACGAGCAGCGGTGACAGGGGTGGCGGGGGAGCCTGGCGTCCCCGTTGCCTGGTGCCTTCTCTCTGCACCCTAATATCAGGCCGGCCTCTGGGGACAGCAGAATCTGTGCTGGTGCTGGTGTGAGTGACCGTGTACCCTTCACCCTTCTCACTTCCCAGGGGACCAGGAAAACGAATTCAGAGGCGGGGACTCTGTTTATTCAGCAGACAAGGAGGGCTCTATCGGTGGGGCGGCTTTGGGGAGGACGGGCGGGCAGCACTGCGCTGTTAGGAAGGGTCTTCCAGCTCTGTTAGGGCATTGCAGCTGGTGGAGCAGGCCGCTGGCACTTTAGGCAGAGCGACGGGAAGAATAGGGGTGTAGAGACAGGAAGCATCTGAGGGGACAGCAGAGTAAAGATGGGGTTTGCAGCCAGGGGAGGGGAGGAATAAAGGCAGCTCCAAGACCACCCGCCCTGGCCTCCCAGCAGCCCCTGCCCAGCCATACTCACTGCCCAGTCAGCCATCGATGCACTTGTCTGTGGGAGAGAGAACATCAGAGCGGCCAGGGGTGGGCGTGGGCTCAGAATATCTGGCTGCCAGGAGCCCTGAACTGCCCCTGGCTGGCTCAGGCCCAGTCCGGCCCAGCTTCAGAGGATGTAGGGGTTCCCTTAAATCAAGCCAGGCTACTTGAAAGAAAGGACGTCTCCCGGGTCCGGAATGAGCCAGCACCAGAGGCAGGGGAGGTGGCCCAGTACAGCCAGGCCAACGGCATGGAGAGGAAGTGGCCCAGGGCACTGAGACTGGGAAACTTGGCCTGAAACTGTGGTCTGGGGAGGCCTTGGCTAAACTTCAGGGGAACCACTTGGGGCCAGGGTCCCCACAGACTTCCAAGTAGGAGCCACTGCCTCTCCCGTGACTGGAGCAGGGGACTGAGTCTCTCCCGTCCCCTTCCCTTCTTCCCCAGTGCTCATTACCAATGGGCTCAAAGAAAACGGTGTTGTCATCACTGAGGCCCAGAGACTTGACAAAGTTGACGAAACGCCGCTTCACGGAAGGGCTCAGCTCCTTGGTTCTCCCTGTGGCCAACATGGCAGTGAGTGGGCGACAGAAAGACTCTGCGGTTTGGGTTTTTTTTTTTTTAATTTTTGAGACAAGGTCTTGCTATGTAGCCCAGGCTGGCCTTAAACTCCTAATCCTCCCGCCTCAGCCTCCACAGTGCTGGGATTACACTTGTACCCAACCACGCCTGGTTTATGGTTCGCTCCATAAACGCTGTCAGTAAGTGAAGGAGGCCTCGGACCCCTCTTCCCTGGAGGATCTGTGGAAAGACCTCCCTGAGGGGAGCTCAAACTAGAAAGACTTTGGGATCTTTGGGGATAGGGATCCCCGCCCCCACCATGTGTGACCAGGAGCCAGGTCCCTGAGGGGATGGAAGGAGGGCCCACCGTAGAGAACAGTCTTGAAGTACACTGTGTTTCTGGACGTCTTCTGAAAAAACACTATGGCGAACCGATTGTAGTTGGTGGCTGTCACTCTGACGATGTAACTCTGTATTGTACGGTAGCCTGTGGTATGAAAGACGAGGGTCATCCCTTCCCTGGCCAGGAAGAAGGGACTGTCCCTTTCCTCCAGGACAAGTCAGTGGGGGCTTCTCCCCACAGGGCAACAGCTGTGTGGAAGGCAGGGAGGCCTGTCCCCTTTCTGGAGGACTCAGCACCCCCAATTCCAACCCCACAGCTCCCCTTACTCTGGACTCACGTGGTAAATTGCCCAGTGTGAAGTGGCCGGGCTGGTCACTTGGGACAAACGTCCTGATCCAGTAGTCACAGGCCTGGCCCCTATGGGAGGTGAACGCGGAGATGACACAGACTTGGTCCCCTGGCCGGATGAAGTGGGGTCAGGGCTCTTGCAGGCCTGTGAGGCCCTGTCCAGCACAGCCCATGACAGCATGGCCCTGGGCCTTCTCCTCTGAGCCTCTGCGTGGTCTGCGGCGGGGTCACACCACCCTCCCTCCAGCGCTCACTGCCTCCTCCGCTGCCTCCCCGGGGCAGGCTGTCCACACACGGACCCCAGGCCCTGAGCCCTGCTCTATCTCGCTGCTCCTCTTTCCCATCTCTCCTGGCAGTTTCCTCTGAGCTTCCAGGCTGCTCCAAGCCAAGCTCTGCCCTAGCCCTTGGGCCGCACCTGATTCTCCCATGAACCCACCCTACCCCTGCACCCAGAGCCGTTCCCAGACTATGCCCCTCAATTCTCAGATCCTCCAACTCCAATCCACCCAGTGGCCAGAGCCAGAACTCGCTGCAGGTAGGAGAGGCGGGCTCTCCCCTCCAAGGCCTCATCCGCCCCACCTGTGTCATCCCCTGCCTGGTCTGCCCAGCCACACCTTCCCGGTTCTCCCCACCTGCAGGATCTCCCTAAACTGCCCAGCTGGCTTTCCGTTGGCACCCTCCTGCCTCAGCCCCCTGAGCTAGTGCACGATTCCAGCCATGCACCAGCATACGTGAGAGGCTGGCTCCTCTAAGGTCCCTTTCCTCCAGGCTGAGATGGAGGCCTTGGGGCGGCCCAGGGTGGGTCCAGTGTCCCTGCTCCTCTTCTGTCCTGTTCCTCCTGCCTGTGTCGGTGCTGGAGCCACTCCCGAATACTGACGCAAGTGCTGGAGGAAAGGGGGAAAGGAAAAAACAAAGGAGAGAGGAAGAGAAGGGTAGAAGGAGGGAGGACGATGGATTTTGGTGCGGAGAGGTAAGAGGAAAGACAGCATCCCTCAGCTTTGGCCACCCCTTGGTCACCATTCTGCTTCTGAGCCCCCCAGGAGGTGGTGGCTTCACCTGAGCAGGGTGGCAGTGACGTTGTAGCTGTGGTCATCTTTCAGCTCGTAGGTATCGCTGTACATGTTTGACTGGCTTTCTTTTTCTTTCTGAAATCCGTTCCCTGCCACAGCTACGGCATACCACTTCCCCTGGAACTGTAAGAGGCCGTGACAGGCAAAGCCCAGGGACGGCCCCAGAGCCACCCATCCCTCGCTGTCTCTGCTGGGACTTCTGAGCCGTAGGGCCCAGGGATGGGGCTGCCCTGAGAAGCTGGTAGGAGATGAGCCCCCCAGGGCCAGGAGGGACCTGGGGTGAAGCGTTAACCCAGAACTGTCGGGGGCGGGTGGCACTGGGAGAGTGGCTGGTGGCCCTCCTGAGCCTCAGTTTTCTCTTCTGGGCAGGACTGAAGACTTCCCCACCTGGCATGCGCTGGGCCTGGACTCCCTGGGCGCCGCTCCTACCAACCAACACCATTGCTGAATACTCCTTTCCCGCTCCTCCTCCGCTGGGCTTTCATTGTGCCTGTCCCCTGGGCCCCGCCTGCAGCGGCCTTTCCAAAAACCCTTACCTGGTCATCCTGGAAGTCTGGCTGCAGAGGGACCTTGCTCAGAGGCGGGCTCGGGATCAGGGTTGGGGTGGTGTCCTGGGCCTGGGACTGCAGGGTCCCCAGCAGGGTGAGGCCCAGACACAGCAGACCCAGGGCCATGGCTTCAGGACAGCTGCTGGGCTGGCAGGTGTTGGAGAAGGAGGTGGACTGCTGTGGAGCCCAACCGGGGGACTATTTACGGGCCGCCTGGCTGCTGCCTCGCCCTCAGGTGGGCTGGTCCATCCTTTGCTAAATCCAGGAAGTGTGAGGCAATTGCCAGCAACTCCTTCTGCAAAACAGTTGGCAATGTTTCAACCCCTTCCTCCCGCCCCCCACCAGGTCAGGATTGTGCAAGGTAGAAGGGGGAGAAGGCCATGGGGGACCGGAGGGACAGTCCCAGAGCTCCACATTTGGCAGGGACAAGGCTCCCTCCAAGGGCCCCCCGTGCCTCTTCCTTTTATCTCATTGGGCCTTTCTGTGGTCAGCAGCTCAGGGAGTCCAGAGTGGGGGAAGTATAATGAAGTCATTTCCCTGAACTTGCAGAAGACAAAGAATGTTCCACCCCTCCGGGTTGTGTGCTGCTTCTTGGCTCTGGGAAAAGTCCGGAAAGGGCAGAGTGGCTGACAGGGGACGTTCTGGAAAGGGAGGAACAAGGTACCTGTTCTGGGCCTGCTAAGCCCAGATCCTGGCCCTCACAGGAGCCCCAGGCCAGGCTTTGGAGCAGGGTCAGATGCCCTATGCCCTTCTCCTCCATCTGCAGAAGAAGGCAACCCTCCCAGGGACTCTTGGGACTGTGGTGTCTCCTGTGAGCCCAGCAGGTACTTGGCCATACCTGTGCTGTGTGAGACAGAGGCAAGAGCCCAGACTGCAGACCCAGGCCTGGAGGGGGACCACGGGAGCAGACACCTACCCTGGGCAAGGTAGGCTGACTCTGCTGTGTACACCAGTTGGTCAGGTCACAGCGTGCCGAGATTTGGCATCGTCCCTGAGCGGTCATTCAGACCTACCTACCTACCTTCCGTCTCACCATCCCTGGGCCCTGGCGCCCAGCGGCTCGAGCCTGGGGTCTCAGGACTGTCCCTGAGATGGCTGAGCCCAGACTTGTCCTGAGGGAGGCTGCTTCCTCACTGAGGGGTGAGCCGGCATCCCAGGGAGGCAATGATGGACCCAAGGTCCTGTGCAGTGTCTCCCCAAGCTGGCTCACACATGAGGGCGGCAAGTGTCCCAGACGCCTGACCTACGGTTGGACTGAGAATCCCTGGCTTTATCTGGGACTCACTGGCTCTACCAAAGGTCCTGGCTCAGGCTCCAGGCTGGGCTCTGGGGTGCCAGACCTAGGGGCAGAGGCATTAGAGGGGGTCCTAAGCTGAAGCGGCTCAACTCCCACACACACCAGCCACCCCTCCATGCACCCCACTGCCTGGGCCAGATGATGAAACATGCAGCTGAGGGAAGCTGTGGCCCCCGGAGCCGGCCAGCTTCCTGGGCCCTGTGACCAGCCTCTCCCGGGCCTAGGGGGCTCCAGCTCCACGATTCTCTAAGACCTTAAAAGCTCCCCTCGTCCAGACGGGGTGTCTCTGGTCTCTAATCCCAGAACTCTGGGAGGCTCAGGCAGGAAGACTGCAGTTTTCAGCTTACCCTGTACAACATAGTGAAACCCTGTCTCAAAATCAGAAATTTTTAAAAAGGGCTGAGAATGTAGCTCGGTGCAAAAGGCCTAGGTTAAATCTGGGGGAAAGGAAGAGAGGAGAGGAGAGGAGGGGAGAGGAGAGGAGGGGAGGGGAGGGGAGGGGAGGAAGCCACGCCCCTTGGGTACCAATGGTATCTTCTTGGGTGTAGTGGATCCTGAGGCAACCTGTGCCCAGACACCTGCAGCAGAAAGTACTTTAGTGTGAGGTGTTTGTCTGCAGGGGCCCTGGCTGGAGTCTCTTTCCCAGCTCTGTAGCCCCATGCCCGTCTCTCTTGCCAGGTCTTACAGGGGCCTTGCATGTCTTGTGCCCTGTTCACCCGATGGGACCCTGCCTGTGAGGAAACGCTGAAAGGCAGCCCCTCCCAACATCCAACGCTCCCGCTGGATACCTGCTCTGGGAAGGCCTTGGGGTCCACCGGGAGGGGCAGCCAGCCCTGCTGCTTGAGGACTGGGCCCAGGGCCACTCTTGGAGGTGCTCCTGTCTTTGCCCACAGTCTGGATGCCCATGCAGGTGAGAGGGCCCTTGGTGACCACAGGGGCCAGGAGAATGGAGGACACAGCACAGAGCCAGGTCTAAAGCAGGCACCAGGCCTCCAGTGGGCAGTACATAGAACCTGGGCTCCCAAGGCACTAGGCAGGGGTCTTCTGCCTGGTACTGCCCTAGCACTGGACGCCTTTTCCTCCCAGCTCGGCCCCTTTCCTGCCAGTAGCCCCTGGCATCCCAAGTGGTCCAAGAATGGGACTTGTCCCTTGCAACCACTCTGCTTACCCCTAGCTCCCTGCCCCCCAGGCCTTGGCTAGGTCTCCATGGGACACCATCAGAGGTGGCTTTGGGAGAGGACAGGCCTGGCTCTCTAGGGATGCTGCTCCTCCTTTGTAACTGGGAGCCCAGCCAGGCCCAGAGGATTCCCAGCCCAGGCACCAAAAGAAATTATGCCAGAGCCATGGCACTCCGGGACCTGCCTGGGGTATCCCTGTGTGTTCTGAGGGGACTGGGGCTTCCCGCCCCTCCTCATTCATGCCAGCGGAGGAGGGAGGTGAGGGTCAAGGACAGTCGACGTTGACTGGTTTGCTACTCCACTCTCTCACGGTAGTCTGTGCTTCTTTGCTTACTTTTACTTGGCCCAAAGTCACCCTGCAGAGCCTGTTTCTTTCCCTGTCTTTAATAAATGTGAAACCGTTCTACCATGTGCACTTGTCTTGACCAATTCTTTGCTCAGCACAGAGAGAACCTAGAAACCACCTTTAGGAGATTTCCGGCAGCCCAAAGCCCAGTAACAGGGATGGCGCTTGGTGGCCCAGACCATGGCCTGAAGGGTCAGTCAGCCCTGCTCCTTCCTGTGACTCTGAGAATCACCTCTCATGGGTGGTACGCTCTGAAGCAGGCGGCAATCACAGGGCACAGGACTTGGTGCCCTCCCGGCCCAGAGTCCTTCAGGCGGACACCGTGCTGCCTCGGGTCACTGCAGCTGCAAGTGTCCCTGCCTAGAAGCTCAGCCTGGCTCGGCCAGGACTGGAGTGGCTCATGCTCCCCGGTCTCTTCTTGCATCCCTGGTGACCCTCCTGTCCTGGGCCACCCCTCCTGGCTGTGCTGGGTCCCCCTGCTCCATGCTACCTCCTCCCACACTGCCGGGGCCCCTTAATTCAGGCCACTTCCTCTCCTCTCACCGCAGCCCCATCTTGGGCCACTTCCTCCCCATATCCACAGAGCCCCTGCCAGCCACACCCCTGCTCTCTCAAGGGCAGATTTCCTAACACTGCATTTCCCCTGTCAACATCCCCAGCAATCTGGATGGCCTGAGAATGTCCCAAAATCATCAAATTACTACAACCAATTGCTACACCCTGGTTGGTCTAACACCACACCTTCCCAAGGTCAGAAGCCCCAAATCTGAAATTCACTGTGTGCCGGAATCAAGGTGCAGGCAGGGCCTTGCTCTCTCCAGCTCCCAGGCTTGGGGGCCCTTCACTCCTGTCTCTGCTCCCTCTCCACAGGGCTGCGTCTTCTGTTCTTAATCTCCCTCCCCCATCTCACAGAAGGACACTTGAGATAGCATTTAGGTGCCGGCTGGATAATTCAGGATAATCTCACCTCGAATTCTTAATTTATTTAGAAGGTAGAATAGTAAGAGGGAAGGAAGGAAGGAAATATACAGAGGAGACAGAAGAAAAGGAAAAGCCAGTGTCTGGATTAGCAGATCTGTCTTCTAAACTGGTATAGATGTGTGCTACCCCAGCACCGGGGAAACTGAGGCAGGAAGCCTGCGAGTCTGAGGCTAGCTAGTGAGATCTTGTCTCAAGGAAAACATAAAACAAAACAATCTCTTTTCCTTTTTCTAAGTATTTAATTAGTACATTTGTAGTGCATGATTACATTCATCATGGGGAGTGGGTACATGTACGTGAAACACCTTAATTCTTTTCATATTCCTTTCCCCTCCCCTACATCCGTCTTTTCTACTATTAAAATACAACCCCTTCATCAAGACCTATTATGTAAAGGTACAGAATCCCAATGATGAATGTAATTGTATTGTATACCTAGATTGTACCAATAACCTCAATAAAAAGGAAAAAAAAATACAACCCCTTCTCCGTTCCAGGGTCTCATCCAGGATACCACATTACATTTAATCATGGTATTGGCCTGGTTTTTGTTATGGTAACACAGTACCCCAGGCAGGGTACCTTAAGAGAACGCGCTTATTTGAGCTCCTGGTTCCGGAGTCTTCTTGCTCGTAGAATTCCAAGGCAATGCCATCCATGGCAAGAAAAAGGGGCTCCCCCAGATGAGCTTATCTAACCCTAAATCACCTCCCAAAGGCCCCGTCTCTAGACTGCAGGGCCACACTGTTCCACGCTCTTAAGAGCTCACAGCAAGGACTCAATTTCCACGCACGAACCCTCGAGGGACACTCAAATCACACCCACACCAGAGCTCCTAGGGCTATGAGTTTCTCAGGCTTCTTTCTTCTGGTTTTGCTGACCTGAACAGTGTGACATTTGTCTTGGCAGCCCAGTGTTTTTTGCTCTTTTTTTTTTTTTTTTTTCATGATTAGCTGTGGGTTTTAAGGAGGAAGTTCTGAGAAAGGCCATCCTTGCAGCACCGCATTATCGGGCACACGGCGATTTCGTGAGCCATCCCTGTGGGTTTGACCTGGCCGCATGCCCAAGGTAAAGGTGCGGCTGTCAGGTTTCTCTGAAGTCACTTTTCCCTCTTTCTTCTTTGTCTGGAAGGGCAGCCTATACCTAAAGGGCGTGGGCAGAGTATCTGCATGAATTATTTGAAACTCTTCTGCAGGAAAAATCTGCTCCTCCTCCTCCTCCTCCTCCGTTTATTTAAACTTTGGGTTACTGTTAAACAAACAGAGCAGAAAACCAGGACCATAACAAGCCTCTACTGTGGGGAGGGTCTGTCCGGCTGTCTCTGAATGAAGGAGAGAGAGCAACACGGCTTAGACAGGGGGCGCTCCTTACAGGACTGGGGTGGGACTGAGTGATGTGGTGGTTCGGGACTGGGGGAGCTTGTGACAGCACTAGGGCCCGTGTCATCACTACTTAGGGCCATCTGAAGGGAGATCTAACAGTTATAATCCAATATTATCTCATTTTTTAACTTTTTTTTTTTTTTTGGCTAAAAGTTTTCCAACTTTGGCCACTGGGAACTCTGGAATCCTTTCACACACCCCCTTTGATTGGAAACAGTTTAGTAAGTTTTTGTGTTTGTTTTTTCTTGAGACAGGGTCTCACAATGTAGTTCAGGCTGGCCTTGAACTCACTATGTGGCCCAGGCTGGTCTCAAACTTGCAGCAATCCTCCTGCCTCAGCCTTCTGAGTGCTGGGATTACAGGTGTGTGCCACCATCACCACCCAACCCCACCCCACTCCACCCCCAGCCAGTAAATTTTGACACAGGAAAAAACACACACACACATAAAACCACCCGCAAATCAAAACAGTTTATGTATCCGTCACCCCCTAAAGATTTCTCAGGACCCTTTGCAATGCTTTCCTCTGGGTCCTTGCACTTGTGAGGCTGGCGGTGGCACCACGGAGCTAAATCCCCAGCCCCGAGGAACCTGTTCTTCAACAACAGCTGCAGAGGAGGAAAAGCCAAAGAAGACAGAAGGCCTGTCCAGAGAGACCAAAGGAAAACCCGGAGGGGTGGTCACAGAGCCATGGACAGGCACGTGTCCACGACACTGACCACTGGCTCAGACACCAAGGGAGGTACAGATGTTCAGCCCAGACTGGGGTTCAGGGGCTGGCGAGATCTGGGCTTTTCTTTCCTGTGTGTGAAAATGTGGGGTCCCCATAGCCACAGACCAGTGCACAGCTGTCTGTTTCTGCCACCCTAACAAAGACAGGCTGCTCCATTCTTGAGTGATTGAGACTTATTTCTCACTAATTTGGAGGCTGGGAAGTCCACAAGGCACAAGCAGGTTTGGTGTCTGGCCTCCTCTAGATCGGGTAGTTGCCAACTGAGTAAAAAAACGGGATCCCAGGTATCAGACCGAAGGGTGGATGGTTCTCCAGCCCTCAGTAGTGCTGCAGAGAAAAAGGCTGCTTTGTACACAGGTCACAGCAGCAAAGCCAGATGGCTGGGGAGCAGGGACAAGGAACGGGGCAGTCCTCTGCTTGGTCCCTTTCAGGCACCTTCATCTCCTTAGGGGCTGAATCGGCCAGAGCAAGTCTCAGCATGTCCCCGACGCTGCCTCAGTTCCCCCATCTGTTATCCGGGCTGGCTGCCCACTGTTCTCCAGGGCAGCAGTTCCCTGGAACCTGTTCTCCGGTGCTCGCCCTGCACCTCCGAGACGGCTACAGGAAAACCCAGGAGTTGAGGGGGTCACTTCGGTACTTGCACGTCCCCATACCCGCCCTGACTCCCCTTCCCCGGAGGGCATTCTTGGGAAAACAAAGGTCGTCGTAGCAGCCCACTCGGATCACCTGCGTCCTCCAAGTCATCGTCCTCGCCTTCCTTGCCCGCCTCCACCCGCGTGTCCAGGTCCGAGTTGGGACGCGACTTAGCGTGACAGAGCGCCACAAGGGCAGGACGCAAAGCGGAGAAAATCGAGCGTGCCGGGAACCCGAGGTTGCAAAGCTACTGCCCAACTGGGGGGGGAGTGGTCGGTGGCCCCGCCCATGGCCCCGCCCCGCGGCCTCCGGG